CGGTGACTCACGCTTGTAATCCTAGCTACTCAGGAGGCTGAGATCTGAGGATTGCGGTTCAAAGCCAGCCTGGGCAGGAAAGTCCATGAAATTCTTATCTCCAATAAACCACCAGAAAACCAGAAGTGATGCTGTAGCTCAAGTAGTAGAGCACTAGCCTTGAGCTGAAGAGCTGAGGGACAGCACTCAGGCCCAGAGTTCAAGCCTCATGACCGACAAAAAAAAAAAGGATCTCACCAACTTTTCTTCCCAAGCTAGCCTGGAACCTCGATCCTCCCATTCTCAAGCCATTACATAGTCAGGATTACAGTCATGAGCCACTGCACTGGGTTTGAGAGTCCTGATGTTTTCTTTTCAAAGTAAAGCTGTTATTAGTGCTGCATTGAATTGCCCAGTGAGTTAAAACAGAGCAGAACAGAGCAGAGGCAGTGACACAATGTGAATGAAAACAACTGAATGAAAACAATTCTTCTCTGAATACTCTCCTTTGAACTGAATTCCCTGGCAAACAAAAGTGTGTGTGTGTGGGGGGGGGGGGTTGTCACCAGGGACACAAAATTAAGGGACTAAAAAGGCCATCTCCTGGGACTTGCCATGTTTCACAAACTCTTTTGTTGCAGAAGAAATAAAACAGAAAATATCACTTTGACACCAAGTGGTAGCTTTTATTGACATTTCCATTTAAAATGCTAATAAGAAAGCTGTAAAAATTGTAAACATGGAAACCAAACACTTGCATAAATTATTCCAAAAACTCTACAGCACATTAGAAAACAGTGCAGCTACTTGAAGGAAGGGTAGAAACATAACTGACAGTTAGAAGGGAGGCTCAGTAACTACAGCAAATACCCATACTGAGATTCAACTGCCCAGGTGAGACCAGCAAACCTTGATTGTCAAGTTCAAGTTGCAGTACTGATGCCACAGGTGGCCCCAATTTGCTCTGCAGCTTCATACATTGCTACTCATAGGAATGGAGATGCAAGGGGGAAAAAAAAACAATCTTTGACCCAGGAAGACACAAGCCAGCACCCTGGGTACCTCTGAGCGCGACCTCTCTGGTTCTAAGCAATGAAAGGGGCTCCAAGACTCAAGTTGTTCTACTTTTTATTCTACCTACCCGTGCGTGCGTGCGTGCGTGTGCGTGTGTGTGTGTGCACCAGTATTGGAGCTTGAACGCAAGGCTTTGCACTCATTTGGCCTTTTCACTCCTGGCTAGTGTTTTATCATTTGAACCACAGCTCCTCTTCCAGCCTTTTGGTGGTTAGAGAAGAATCTCACGGACTTTTCTGCTCAGGTTGGTTGTGAACTGCAATCTTCAGATCTCAGGCTCCTGAGTAGCCAGGATTACAGGAGTGAGCCACTAGCACCCAGCCACTTTCTTTAAATGTTCAGTAGCCCCAGAGCAGAAAAACGCAGGGGAAGAAGGGCAGCCAGGAGCCCATGTCACCTCCTCCCTGTCACACTATCCAGTGTCCTAACCACCGTTTCATGTTGCTAAAAGTATTTCATATTCATCCTTGACACTCCACGGCTGCTGCGTATTTGTAAGGAAATTGTAACGTGTCCATTTATATCCACTGGCATGAAATTAAAATTGCAACCTGACCTTTCAGTTTTCAAGGTTTTAAATAGGGGACAAAGGAGTCCTGGTTTTAACACCTGATGATCAATCACCTCTCACAATAAAAACTGAACCTGAAACGTGCCCCGTTCTCGCTGATGAGGTGACAGATGTAATCTACACGTTTCGTGAGAATGTGGCCACAGAGGCCCATGGAAACTTTCTCACCTGTTACAATGCCCGCAGTGTGCTGGATTAAGAGGAAAAACCACGTTCAATGAACCGTGCCATTGAAATGTGTTTGTGCTCATGCAGTCTACCTGCAGGTATTCAATCAACTTCCTCGTGCTGCAGCCCAGGCCAAACATGGGTGAGCAAGCCCCACGGATCAACTCTGGGGCCTTGCTCTGGAGGTAGAAATGGCAGAAACTCCAGGATTGCTAACGTGAGGGTGAGAGCCAAGATGGACACACTCTGTCCCAAGCCTAGAACCTTCCAAGCATCAAAGTCATCCACATGTAAGAATCCAGGATGAAAGGGCCTATAGATGAACCCTCTGCAATGATTAACTTGTGAGGCAGTGCTGATGCTGACCAGCATCCAAGGAACTGGTGGTTCTTAAGACATCACAGACATTAATGCAAATGCAGCAGCCACAGAACCCGGGTACCAGATCGAGACTCAGAGCGCGCAGAATCACTACTCATTTGGCCCAAGCCTTCTGCTCCTACTTCTGCACCTGTGCTGCGCCACACAGGCATCCAGCCTCGCAAAACCTGACCAAAAGCCATGTGCCACTCAAATCCACACACACTATAATTAAAGGAAAACATTTAGATAGCTATAAAGAAGTCAAATATATTTATTTATAACCTACTGTGCTCTACAAAGGACTTAAGACTGTCATCAAATGGCTGACATCAAGATCTGCTCTAAGCAGTAACCCTCACAGAGTCATTTTTAACAACCATCTGCATACTTTCTATGGAACCTTGGAGTCCTTAGTCCTCTCCCCTTCCGTCCCCCATGCTGGAGCTCTTCCTCTGTCGATCGTTGACAGCCTGGTCATCTACTGAATTACCACAAATGCATCCTCCTGGCGCGACTCTTTCTCTTCTGAAACTTCCCACAGAGTCCCCATACTATGGCAGATCCTTTGTTCTCAATGACGGTGTACCCCAACTTCTAGATCCTTCCCCAGCTCAACTCTGGGCTCACCTTCTGCCACTTCAGCATTAGCTGAGGTAACTCTCATCACAGCAGCTTCTGCAGTTGGCTTTCCCCAAAATTCCATTAGTTCCAACCAGGCAACTTCTACCAATTTTGTGTGCCCAATGCATTTGGCCACTGAGAGATGCTTAATCTATGGTTTTTTTTTAAATATGTATTTTCCATCTTTGTGTTTGGGTGGTGCTTGAACTGAAGGGAGAAGGGTCTCTCCAATTTGCCTAGCCTCAAACAGTGATCCTCAGATCTCAAGTCTCCTGAGTAGCAGGGATTATAGGCATCAGCATCTAGCTCTAGTTCGTCTTTTATACCTATCTGTACTATCCAGCTTAGATTCTAAGATCTCCAAAGACAGGGCTCCTATGGGCTCACCCCCCATGGTGTAAGACACAGCAGAAAGTCAAGAACAGATGCTCTTGATGCTCCATAGATGCTTTTTGCAAGTGGAGGTGAGTTTGAACCAAACAGGAGTGAAGAGGATGAGACACAGTGGGCATTCAGTTTTGCTCTGGTTACCTTTGTGTCAATGCACCCACTGGGAGATCCCAATGCATCCCATCATCCATCCAGGGACGTTCACACCCACAGCATTTTCTGTTTTCACACCACTTTCTGCTCCCTCCTGGGGGGAGGGGCCTGCTGACCCACTGCATCACATCCGGTTCTCACCACTAGCAGCCCTGGTGCTGGCGGGGGAGAGCTGCTCTCTTCTGTTGATGGGGAAATGAAGGAGAGTCAGAGAAGAAAGCTGACACACTGAGTTAGTCACAACAGACTGGCCAAAAAAAAAAGCGCCCTTCTCCAAACCATCTTCTCCAATGCAAATTTTTAAAGTTCGTGTACCCAGAATTTCCGAAAACAGGGGATGGGGGCCAGACATAAAATCTGCTTCATTATGTGGACTCCAAGGTTTCTACATCATCGAAGCTCCTCGTAACCAACAAGAAGAGCTTCTGCTTACGTCACACAGTGAAGACACCCTGAGCAGCATGGGTCATTCCTTGGACAGTTTCTTTCTTCTGAGTTTGGTGACTGGGAAACCTGCCTTGCCTAATGATGAGAGTAAATGAGAACACACTGTGCTTTATTTCCCCACCATGGGGTGTTGGCAACCCCACGAGGCCTGCTCACACCATACCACGTGCCACCAGTGTTTCACATGTCATCTTTGGTCTTGACATCTGTTTCAAGGTCTATCAGTTCTAATAATAAAAAATACAAGTAGAATCTCTCGATGGTCACTGTAGACACACCGTTTCTGTAGTGCACACAGGAAGTGACTGTTTACAGGACACTCGATGCAGAACATTCAGGATACTGAGCAGAATTGGGGAGGAAAGGCCATTTATTCTATCTGTTGTCACATGATTGGAACTCATCATAAAGGTTCTAGAATAAACTTCTGCTTAGATACCTGAAAGTGTCACTATCATATTCAAGATTGTGGGCCTTTATGATTGACATGGAAAGAACATTCTCCCCTTTGGGCAGAGTTGGTATTGAAATAAGATCAATCAGTAAGAAACAAAGCCCAGAAGGACTTGATGTTCCTCCGCAGAGGCTCTGGGCCAGGCACTGCGTCTCAACTGATACCCACTTGGATTCCCCTCTCATCCAGTGTGGGGCAAGACTGACACTTGAGCTTCCCAGAATTGCCTGAGACACTAAGCCTGAGTCACAAGCCTAAATGAGCAGGTGCAGAAGCAATTCTGGATCTCATGGCCACACTTGGGGAGCCTGTTCTAGCTGTGGCCAGGTTCTGGCTTTGGGTTCGGCTGAGTTCCTAGTTCTACCAAGCCACCTGTGGTTGAAAGTATTAGTTCATCTGCTAAAGTGGCTCATGGCAGACTCTCTTGTTAGTCTGCAATTCTGAGTTGCACTCAGGAACCAGAAAACGGAATGGCACTCTCTCACTTCATGTGGGAGGTAGAGAGATGAAAGAGGGACCTTTTAAAGTAAGAGGACCCACTTTTCTCTGGCCAAAGTACCTAAGAGAGTTTTAACAGTCATTCAACAAAATAATAAGACAGTAAAAAAAAACAAAAAAAACAGGGGCAACTTTCTCCTTTCCCTCATGGTCTCAAAACTCTTCCCTTCTTGTTCATGACAAACAGGCTAACCTGAACTTGCTTCACTCACAGGACTTGAACACAAGGAATGTGACCAGGAAGGATGGACTCTCCTCTCTGTTCAGTAGTTCCTGGAATGAATTATGAACAATGTATTTTCATATTTGACTTCTCATTTAAAGATCACTTGGGAGCAGATGTCTAGCAAAGTACAAGGATCTATGTTAGGATTTCCTGACAGCCTCACTCTGGGGTCTGGACCCTAATGGCTGTGCTAACGTGGGTTAAGAGTTGCTCATAACCAACTGATAAACAGTAAATACAAGTAAGAATGCAAATCTAAACTTCAATATGTATTTTTGAATAACCAAATAAATATTAAGTCCTCTCCTTGTCATCCCCTCTCCCCCAATTTGGGAGGATTTGTTTTGTTTTTTTGTTCTTTCTAGAACAAAATGAAACCTTCAACATAGTCTCCCACTTGCAAAAGCCAACACTGCATTTCCCAGTCAGAAAAGTGAAGGGCCCTTGAACTTTAGCACCAGGAGGAGGAGGAGGAAGAGGAAGAAGAGGATGGAAATGGAGGCAATGGCTTCATTGGGAATCCTCAGGTTCTACAATCTATCATGTGGTTTCTCACGAGTACCTTTTTGTGTTTTATTTCCAAACAGTCTTAGTATTCTTGTTAATATTATTAAAATAAGTTCCTATGGAGGAAAAGAAGGGAATGAAGCAGTTAATAAAATGTCTTCAGATCTCTCTTCTCAGCAAACAGAGCAGCAGTGTACGATCGCACGCGACTCTGTGAGCCCATGGACATGCTTGGCTCCTCTCAGCCTTGAACCAGTGACACACTTTAACCTTTCACCTTCACAAAGCAGACTACCAGCATGTGTTTTTTGTTAGCTTGGGTTTGTGTTTTGTTTTTGTGAAGTTCTGCTAGCTTTGGGCCAAAAGTACACATCTGCTGAACTGAACCGCCTTATCAACTTAGTATAAAAGTCTCAGGGGTTGGTGTGCGACCGGTGGCATCTTCTAGCACTGAACCTTGTGCCCTTCCTCGGGTGGGCAGCGGGCCCTGGGAGATAGATGACACTCGTTTCCTGTTCCAAGCACGCACGCGCTCAGTCCAGTTCCTGTTGATCTTGCTTCCACGGGAAGCGGATACTTGGCAAAGCTGCAGAGGGGAGGCCTCAGCTGTGGAAGTTGGGCACGGCGCTCTGTTTCTGGGAGAGCCGCAGGAGCTCCTCGCGGATCGCTTTGATGAGTGAGGCTGAGGAGTGGCCGGGCTGGAGGTCCTCGGTGGAGCTGGTGGGGTACCCCAGCCCAGGGCCCTGCAGTCCCCGGGGTGCGAGGCTCCCGGGCGGAGCCGAGGGCTCCCTGCCCGAAGTCCTTGGCACCTGCAACAGCGGTGAAGAAGAATACTCTTGATGTCCGAGCATGTGGGTCTGAAAGACAGCAAACATTACTGCACTTCCCACCGGGGAACGATGGGGGACAACGCTGGAGACATGGGGGGGGGGAGTCCACGCCCCCTAAGTCCCCTCTGGGTTCCCAGGCCACAGAGAGAAGGGAGGGGGAGCACCTGCCTGAGTGTGGAATGCTGGCAAAGGAGCTCCCGAGGGGCCCCCCGGAGTGTGCACATACACTGTGACCACAGAGTCCAGGCCACATCACAAAATCATTTTCTGTATTTTTTTTTTGGGGGGGGTCCAGTCATGGGGCCTGAACTCTGGGCCTGAGCGCTGTCGCTTAGCTTTTCAGCTCAAGGCTACTGCTCTACCACTTGAGCCACAGCGCCACTTCCGGCTTTTTTCTTATGTGGTGCTGAGGAATCAAACCCAGGGCCTCAGGCATGCAAGGCAAGCGCTCTACCACTGAGCCACTTTCCCAGCCCCTTCTGTATTTTTTTTAACAATGGGTTTTGTGTGCTTGCTTTGTGCCAGTACTGGGGCTTGAACTCAGGGCTTTTCACTCGTGCTTTTTCTGCTCAAGACTGGCGCTCTACCACTTGGGCCACAGCTCTATTTTTGTTTTTGGTGGTTATTTGAAATAAAGAGTCTCAGACTTTCCTGCCCAGGCTGGCTTCAAACTGCAATCCTCAGATCTCAGCCTCCTGAGCAGCTAGGATGACAGGTGTGAGCCACGGATGCCGGGCTGACGTTCGGCACTCTGAGATGGGTATTGCCAGGGCAATGGCTGCTCACAGCAATTGGGGCAGGAGTGATGTGAGTCCACCACAGGGCTAAACTGTAAGATGGTACATACACATCAGTGACACTGACAACTATGCACCAGGTGACTATCTACAGGATTAACTCATCTTCAGGTTCAAATGCACTGCTGAAGGTCTAAAGGCCATCTCAAGGAAAATCACATACTTTCCCCAAAGCAGAGGGGAGTTCACCATCTAAAACCAGAAACAAACACAAGCAAAGCCCAAAGGGCAGGGGAGATGGAAACTGGTTTTTGTTTCATTTTGTTTTTGTTGTTGTTTTGCCAGTTCTGGGGCTTGAACTCAGGGCCTGGGCACTGTCCCTGGAGTTCTTTTACTCCAGGTTAGCTCGCTACCACTTGAGCCACAGTAGCACTTCTGACTTTTTCTGTGTATGTGGTCCTGAGGAATGGAACCCAGGGCTTCATGCATGCTAGGCAAGCACTCTACCACTAAGCTGTTTGGTTTTGGTTTTGTTTTAACGCAGGTTTTCAAAGCAGACTCTGCTGCACTCGAGCTGTGACGGAGGCCGGGGTACTCACGGCTTCTCTTCGTCCCGCTTCCTCCTCCGCATACGCAGGCCAGCCTGGTCCACTGTACTGGCTGCCTCTTCCAGGTGTGATTTCCACGGGCTGGGCCCCGATTCGGCTAGCAATCCCCACCTGCGTCAGGTGCTGGATCTGGGAGCCTGGAGGGAACGGGATGTGGGGGACAGGTCAGTGCTTGCAGGAGAGAGGGGCTGCTCAGACACCACCAGCTCTCAGCGCAGCTCCTTCAAGGCCAGGAGATTAGTAGACACATACCCATAATGAGCTGAAACCTGACTGCTTCTTGCTCATGACTAACATTCATACGGATCTGAATATATAATACACTTTTTAACCCTCAGGGAGCATCATTCTTTATAGGTTTGTGGGATTTTTTGTTTGTTTGTTTTTTCTTGAGCCCCCTACTGAGGCTTGAACTTAGGGCCTCACATTCTTGCTTAGCATTTTTTTGCTCAAGGCTGTAGCTCTACCACTGGAACCACAGCTCTACTCCTAGCTTTTTAAAAAAAAATTGGTTTTATTGTAAAAATACTGTCCAGAGGGGTTACAGCTACACGAGGAAGGTAATGAGTCCATTTCCTATCACTAGTAGCCTTTTTTGGAGGTGAGAATCCACAGACTTTCCTGCCTAGGCTGACTTCACACCTTGATCCTCAGATCTCAGCTTCCTGAGTATCTAGGATTATAGGAGTGAGCCACCAGCAGCTGGCAAAAGCAAATTTAGAAAAAAACCAAGTGACAAACAAACTTGTTTTCATGTCATTCCTGTGTGTTTATTGGAAGAATTCAGGGATGTTCTGGGAAGGTGTGAGCATGCAATTTCAATCAATTTGGTTGTTTTGGGACCAGAACAGTAGACATCATCCTGAGGGGTCCGCCGCTGCTCCTCCTCCTCCCCGGTGGCCTGCCCACCCCAGGGCCTGAGAAAAGAAGCTCCCATCCAGTGGTAGAGGCCACTGAACATCAGGACACGGGCTCTCGGCAAAGCCTAAACCAGTCTTTCCTAATATAGCCCCAAAGCAAGTGTCCCATAGCGCAGAATCCGAGCTCAATGACCACACATACCTGTCGTACCCCCGACAGGCCGAGGCCGGGCCACCGACGGCATGTCTTCAGAGTAGATCCCTCGGGCAGCAAACGGAGCTTCGGCTGATGCCTGAGGCTGTGGGGGCTCGGAGGCCACCACCTCTGAAGACGGCAGCAACCCAGGGCCAAAATTTGGTCTGAAGGCAAAGCACATACACCCATCAAGATCACTCAGGGCCTGGGTGCTGTCCTTGAGCTTCTTTTGCTCAAAGCTAGCTCTTTACCACTTGAGCCACAGCTCTACATTTGGACTCATGGACTTTCCTGCTCAGGCTGCCCTCAAATAGCAATCCTCAAATCTCAGCCTCCCGAGTAGATAGGATTACAGATGTGAGGCACCAGCATACAATCCCTGATCACCATTTGCAGGTGAACTTTAGTTCTAGGTTCAAAGCTTCACATCACAATAAAATAACATTTTAGTATCCTGCCGAGTTTTCTCGGGTGAAGTCAGCAGGAGGGCTGGCACCGATGTTCCCATCTGTCACTACTAGCAGAGAATTTTCCCTCCTCTTCTGGTTAGATCAAGGGAATATATAACTCAGAATTTTGCATCTACTCATAATAGTTAAAGTATATGAGAAGCCAGGTGCCAGTGGCTCATGCCTGTGATCCTAGATACTCAGGAGGCTGAGATCTGAGGATTGCAATTCAAAGCCAGCCGGGCGAAAGTCCATGAGACTCTAATCTCCAATAAACCACTCAGAAAACCGGAAGTAGCCTTTTGGCTCAAGTGGAAGAGCCCTAGCCTTGAACTGAAGAGCTGAGGGACAGTGTCCTGGCTTAGAGTTCAAGCTCCATGACCAACAACCACAACAAAAAAGATATGAGAGCTAGGCGCCCATGGCTCATGCCTGTAATCCTAGCTACTCAGGAAGCTGAGATCTGAGGATCGCAGTTCAAAGCCAGCCCAACAAGAAAGTCCATGAGACTCTTATCTCCAATAAACAACCAAAAAACTGGTTGTGGCACTATGGCTCAAATGGTATAGCACTAGCCTTGAGCTGAAGTGCTGAAGGACAGCGCCCAGGCCCAGAATTCAGGCCCCATGACCAACAATAACAACAACAAAAAAAGATATGATTTCACCCAATTAGCAAGAACAATCTCTGTGAGAAAGCCATGGTGCATTTTGTTCTGAAAACCTTACCTTGGCAATGGGCCAGACGGGGGAGTCATACCATAATCTTCATATCGCTGGAAGAAATTCAAAAAAGCAAGAGGATTTGAATTCAATACTTCTAGATATAAACTCTCCTTTCTTCTAATTAAAAATATACCTTGATCCTCCTGTTTATGCTTCCTACATAGCTGCAATGGCAGGTGTGCTCCACCACACCCAGTTTTTAACTGGTCAAAATGGAGGCTCTCTAACCATGATCCACTATCCTAGATCCTGGGATTACACATGTGAGCAACCACACCTGGCCTGGATCATCTTCTTATAGCAGTCATTTAAGTTTCTTCAAAGCGCAGGTGCTTCCCCCATTCCACCCTACTGCCCTTGGTTCTCCAATCCAACTTTTCCCATTGGGCAAACGCTACTTCACTGTGTATAAGGGGAAGAGAGCAGAGGCTTCAGAGTCTGGCAGACTGGCCACGGTCAATATCCTTGGGCCTGATGCCAAACCAGATGTAAGTGTCTCTGATTCCCAGAATCCTGAAGGATTATTAGATAGAAAACTGTGACTAGCCAGGTGCTGGTGGCTCACACCTGTAATCCTAGCTACTCAGGAGGCTGAGATCTGAGGAATGCGGTTCATAGAAGTCTGGGCAGAAAAGTCCCTGTGAGACTCTGATCTCCAGTTCACCCCTCAAAAACAGGAAGTGGCGCTGTGGCTCAAGTAGTAGAGCACTAGCCTTGAGCACAAAGAGGCTCAGGAACAGCACCTAGTTTCCGAGTTCAAGCTCCACAACCAAAATCAAAACAAAACAAAATAAACTGTGATCAGATTACTGCTTCTTCCCACCCTGCTTGCCAGCATCTTGGCAGACAGAGGGTGATTAGAACTTTACAGAGTCACCAAATTAAGTGCAATAAATCAAAAAGGATTATAGAAGGAGGGACAGAAGGAAATGCAGCTTCAATTCCTTTTCCAAATGACTAAAGGTAAACCTGAGACTGGATAAAGATTATTCACTGTGTCCCTGGGTTCTCTGACAAAGCTCAGAGCTTTAAAACATTCACATGTAAAATGTCTAGGTTTGCTATTTGTTGTTGTTGTTTCACTTAAATCAAGCTTACTTTACCAGTCAGGACATCAGGAGGTTTAAGTGAAAAACCAACAAAGACAGTAGAAAATGGTAGTTGACATTTGATCTGTTTGATTATTTAGGGTGAGGCAGTTCAACTTACCTTAGTAAGAAAGAGGCTATCTTAAGAGATGACATATTTAGAAGAAAAAAATCACTGGCAATTTCTGTGACCCTCTCATTTTAAATGAATCACATGGATAGAAAAGTTTGGGGCACAAAATTGATTAAAAGAAAAAAATCCCAGCCAAATGCATCGTTCCTTTATTCCACACAAAACATACGTCAATAGAGCACAAAAGTCAAGTCAAAATGGCTGCGGAGTCTGGGAACAGGGTGAGGTAGAGAAACCAGCTCAGCTGCCCACGCCTGCTGGGGAGAGTTTAATTTACACAGGAAGCAGAAACACCACTAGCCCTTGACAATGCACACTCAGCACCTCTGTGCTGGTAAAATGGAACGGAAGGTCATAAGATGCAGCATAAAAAGCTCATGTGGTAACTGAAGGCACCTTGAAATCCACATTCTTGTGGTTTGTACTGTAGTCAGAGGCAGCAAATAAAGGGTGACCGGGTTCCTCCTGGAAACAAGCAGTAACTTTACCACCAAGGTGTCAATGTGCTAAAATCCATGCCCACTGATAGCCTGAAGTGGCACAGCCAATGATTCTGGTTTTCCACTGGATTAAACTGCTACGACTGTCCTCTAACTACATCAAAAGTCCATGACAAAGAAAACATGAGAAAACTGTGTTTGTAAAAATCTTGTTGAGTTCAAAGGCATAGTCAAGAGCGTCGCAGATCAAGGCATTATTGTGGAATCCCTAATTCCAAACACTAAAGAGCAAGTAGGTAAGCCAGGACCCAAGGCTCAGGCCTATAATCCTAGCTGCTCAAGAGGCTGAGATCTGATGAAAGTTGTTCAAAGCCAGCCCAGGCAAAAAATCCGAGAGCCTCTTACCTCCAAGTAACCAGCAATAAGCTAGGAGTGGAAGTGTGGTGCAAGTGGTAAAGCTTCAGCCTTAAGCAAAAAAGCCAAGCAAGAATGCAAGGCCCTAAGTTTGAGTTCAAGTACGGGCACACAACAACAACAACAAGAAAAGAAGAAGAGGAGGAGGAGGAGGAGGAGGAAGGGGGAGGAGGAGGAAGAGGAGAAGAAGAAAGAAGAAGTCTGTCAATTAATGCTAAATACCAACAGAAACCAAACTATACAGGAGCTTAATCATGCTCTACACAGAAAAAAATGAAAAGTAGCCTGGCAAAGGGAAAGGTGAGATTGTGGCCCCCACTCCATCCCCAGAGGGTGCAGGTTTGCATTCCCATTCACAGAAGCTGACAGAGGGGATTGGCAGCCTAGGGGCAGGGAAGGGAGGAGGAGGAGGAAAAGCCTGGAGAATAGTGACCAATCAGATCAGAGAGTGAATCAAGAACTTTCCCAGTAAGAAACCCAGCTGAGAGGCTCCTGTAGATCTTGCTGCTCAGTCCATGTTTGTTTGTTATCTTGAGGCTGACAGAAGGCGTTAGCTCCTCAGCAACTGGCCTATTCTGTGCCTAGAAGCTGCATTTTATCTGTCAGCCACCCAACTATGCCAGGCTCCAGAATGGTCAATCCCTGCTACCTCACATTCCAGCCCAGAATCAAGAGGCAACTGGAGCTGTGGCATGAATCTTGATGAGAGACAGTGATGGCTGTAACTAGTCTAACACATCAGGGAAGAAAAGCATCCACTAGTCCAGCATGGTTAAGTGAAGCAGAGGGCAAGTTAGAGAAGAAAACTAGGAAGATAGGGAAAGATACTGTCTCCTCATGGAGACAAAGTGGCTTCTTGAAGGCCCTGGAAGGCAGAGATAGTGGCCCTAGCAAAGACAATCACACAGAGGACAAGTGCCCCTCCCTTTGGGGTGAGGAGAACAGCAATCCAGCTACAGAACAGCTGACACTTGCTCAAGACAGATATAAAAGGGAGACCCCCACACTACAACAGGCTACCAAGTTCTGGACCCCTTCTTGCCGGCATATTCTCCATTCCTCCTTGCTTGGGTGCATCTAACAATCTGCTCTTCACATCTTTGGCAGCTTACTCTCACTTTCAGCTTTCAAACAAATTTTGCCTCTACTTCCACTTTTCTGGCCTCCTAATTCCTTATTTGGTGGAGAGAGGAAAGGAACTCAGGACTCTGGAGGGCATGAGCACTTCCCCCCACCCGTTTCCTCTCTTTCCTTGTCAGTGTGTGGTCCATCATTTCAGCTGCATCCTGCATCTTCACACCACCTGACACATGTTATTTCACAGCTGCCAGGAGCCCGAGTCCTGGATCAACCCCACTGCCAGTCTCCTCTTGGTCTGTCTACATCTGGGTGTCTGAAGGCTGATCACCAACACCAGACTTCTAACTTGTGCCACTATCATTTCATGACTGTCTACCTCAACAAGGACTTAGAAATTATCCCATGGGACCCTAATCTGGCTTCTCTCATTCTGCACAATAGGTATTTCAAGATCATGCCTGTAATCCTAGCTACTTAAGAGGCAGAGATCTAGAGGATGGAATCTTGAAGCCAGCCCAGACCAAAAAAGTCTATAAGCGTTGACAAAAAAAAAAAAAAAAAAGGGCTGAGGAAGGGCTGGGAATGTGGCTCAGTGGTAGAGTGCTTTCCTAGCCCAGGGTTTGATTCCTCAGTATCTCATAAGCAGAAAAAGCTGAAAGTGCTACTGTGGCTCAAGTGGTAGAGTGCTAATCCTTGAACAAAAGAAGCTCAGGGACAGTGGCCAGGTCCTGAGTTCAAACCCCAGGACTGGAAAAGAAAAAAAAAGAGAAAATCCAAACCCATTTCAGAGATTAAAATTTTTCCTTTTTTAGCCAACCACCAGTGACTCACACCTGTAATTCTAGCTACTTAGTAGGCTGAAATCTAAGATTCAAAGGCAGCCTAGGCAGGAAAGGCCCTGAGACTCTTATCTCCAATTAACCACCAAAAAGCCAGAAGTGGAGTTGTGGCTCAAGTGTTAGAGTGCTAGCTTTGAGCAAAAAAAAGATCTGGGAGAATGTGAAGTCCTGAGTTCAAGCCCCAGGAATGGTACAGTCCTTCCTCTTAATTTTAATCCACCTTCAAACTAATACAGAAAATTATCACCAGATTGTTCAACATACAAGAGTGACTTTCTAAACATAGGAAACTGAATTTCCAAAAAGGGTCAAAGAGCAACAACCGGCCGTGCTTGTAAGGCTACAGGCCCAGCGGGCGAATCCAATGGGCCAGGAATGGGCATGCTTCCCAGCCATGCGCGTGGAAGCAGCTTTTCCTCAACTCCCAGGGGTAAGGGTGTAGCAGTTGAGCAGCTGCTGTTGTACAAAGCTGCAGGGCTGCTGGCCAGCACAGGCCCAGGGACAACCATCAACCATCTTGGCAAATGCACAACCACCCAGGCATTCCTCTGACAGGCTGTGCTCCGGGGGCTTTCAAGTAGACGGTCATCTTCCTTCTAATAAAAACCAAAGGGCTGAATGCGCTAAAGGCACATTTAGTGATCAGTCTTAACGCCTTCACCAGTTTCAGAGGTCTCAATCCATCCTAGGGAGAGGGCGGCAGCACGGTAGATCCCTCACAAATACTTTTCTTTTTTTTGCTCCAGGGTGGAAGTTTACTACTCAAGCCACATTTCCACATCTGGCTTTCTTTGCTAGCTAACTGGAGATTAGAGTCTCTTGGATTTTGCCACCACTGGCTTTGAACTGTGATCCTCAGATCGCAGCCTTCCCAGTAGCTAGGATTACAGGCGTGAGTGACCGGCACATGGCTCAAAATTCTTTTAATATATGCGTATTGCCACCTAAGTCCACCTTAAGAAGGGTAACAATAAATATCAGAGGAACTTAGCATGCACTCACCAGCTAATAAATTTAAATTGTGACCTATTAACTTCTCCCTCCAGTCAACAGGTCACACCCCCTTTTACCCCAATCATTTCATTTGAAACAGACAGAAAACAGAATGAGTGCAACTTCCTTCCATTCGACTTGTCCTGTGTGTTAAGGAGAATTTGAAAGAATGAACTAAATACAGGAATGTGAAGCTAGATGAAATCCTGCAATGTCAGCTGGAGATGGGAAGCCGGCACTCGCAAACAGATGTCCTTGCCAGCTAGGAGCCTGGCTGCCAGGCGTGCCCGAGCCTCCATTACCTCTCTGCGCCTCCATTACCTCTCTGCGCCTCCATTACCTCTCTGCGCCCAGGTGGCCACACAAGAGGTTAAGTAATTTGGGCCTTTTCTAAACTGTTCCTTTTAGGGGACATCAGTGAGTCTATGTGGTGACCATTAAACCATCTCCATTTCATGACATCATGGTGAAGCTAGAAAGGTGCTCCCTCAATTTCCCATAGAACACAAGAGTGATGGAAACTTCCAGAATAAAGAATGAACTTAGAGGAATGTGATAAAATGAAAAATTAAAAAAGAAAATCACCTAAGACCTACTATCCAAGCCTGACTGACATTTATTTATTTATTTATCGCTAGTAGCAGGGTGCTTTCATTCTGGAGCCATGACTCCCAGCTCCGGTTCTTGTTGGTTATTTTGGAGGTAGAGTCTCCCAGACTTTTCTGGCTAGCCTGGCTTTGAACCACGATCCTCTAAATCTCAGCCTCCCAAGTAGCTAGGATTATAGGTTGTGAGCCACCGGTTTTCATCTCAAACTTTACTTTTTATCAAATGTAAATGTAACCAGAGTCTGCAGAAACACAGACAACAAAACTCGCGGCCAGGAGAGAATTCTAGAAAGCCAGTACTTACGCTGCAGGGATTGTTGGCTGTCTGGGCTGGGCTGTAGAAGGATCCCCATTGGGCGGCTCGCCTTTCTTCCCGGGAAGGGGTGTTGCTGACGGGCAGGCCGGCTGGGGCCCCTGGGCCCGGGCCCGCCGCGTTGGCGGGCTGGCTGCTGGGGGCCACGAGGGCAAAGGCGTCGTCCAGGAGGGAGTGCATGGTCTGGCGGGCCTCCTCGATGGACGGCTGCGGCGGGATGTACTGCGAGGCCTGGAAGGGCAGGCCCGGATACCTGCCCAGCTCGGTGGACGATGGCGTCTGCACCTCGGCCGGGAGGTCAGGATCAGACTGCAAGGGCAGGAGGGCAGAGGAAGGAATCAGGCAGAGCTTTGGGAGGCTCCGAAACAAAATTCAATGGCCAAAATGCAATTTAATAAGTTGTGTATATGCACGTATGCACACATGTACAGATACTGGGTATCGAACTCAGGACCTGGGCACTGTCCTTTCCCATTTTTACCCAAGGCTAGCACTCTGCCACTTGAGCCTCAGCTCCACTTCCGGCTTTTTGCTGGCCAATTGGCCATAAAGAGTCTCACGGCCTTTTCTGCCTGGGTTGGCTTTGAAACGCAATCGTTTTGGCACTTAGGAAAGGATTTATGATAAGAAGTTAAAAACCACACTTACAGAATATATATTCCATTTTATAGGTGATAAAGGCTTGAAACAGAAAACAAAATGGTGGGAGTATTCATCCTTTTTCCCCTGCAAACCTCAACATTCTGAAATGTACTTCAAATATATTGTTTTCACTGAAAGCCTAAGTAGCTAAGATTATGTATGAAAGGGAATATACTCAAAATGCCCAGTCACATTGCCATATGTATAAAAACCAAGACATATAGCAGTCTTGAGTATCAAGAGGAAAAAAAAAGACCAGGTGCATATGGATCACACTTGTAATCATATCAACTCAGGAGGCTAAGGTCTGAGGATCACAATTTGAAGACAGCCAGTCTCTTCAACAAACACAAGAGATTCTTATGTCCAGTTAACCATCAAAAAGCCAGAAGTGGAGATATGGTTCAAGTGGTAGAGCACCAGCCTTGAAGGAAAAAAAGGCTGGGTGAGAACTCTTGAGTTCTAGTACTCAAATGAAAAAAAAAATCCCTTCATATTCAAAAAACTTTCAAAGCCACCGCCATCCTAAATGTATGTGTATATAAATATTTATAATCCTACTACAACAACTATTTTAAACAGAGTGACAATTATTTATTAAAAACAGTTGAGTTGTTTTGATTTTTTTTGTGAGGTACTGGGATTTGAACTCAAAACCTGATGCGTGGTCAAGCAAGTGCTCTACTACTTAATCCACACCCTTAGCCCACCATTTGTCTTTAAAATAATCTCTGGATAGCCGGGCGCTGGTGGCTCACGCCTGTAATCCTAGCTACTCAGGAGGCTGAGATCTGAGGATCGCGGTTCAAAGCCAGCCCGGGCAGGAGAGACCGTG